CTTTGGACTTGTTATATAGGATTTTTTATTTTTTATTTTTTTGTCCGCTGCTCCATGTTTTAAAGCAAGTAGAGGCCAAATCCTGCTGGGAGAGCTCTCTCCCTCCATCACAAACTCACGTTTGGAAGATGCCTCCGCCTCCAAGCCAATATTCCCCTTCCAGAGGAGAAAAGAAAACCTTTAAAGAGAGCCGTGGGGGGGATTCCCGGTTCCTTGGTGACCTTGCTGCAGACAAACCCCATGGAAAAACACGTCTGTACCCAATCCAGTTCAACATGGTTTGGGGTCCATTCAACTGAGGGTCCATTTCAGCAATTTCAAGGGGTAAAAAAATAAAATGAAATAAAGGAGCAGGGAGAGTAAGTTTGGGCTTAACCATTCGCTGCTGAAAAAGGCACCACAGGCAAAGCCTCAGCTGTCAGCAATATGAGTGTGCCTGTCCCACAGGCAGCCCTTTCCACGAGGGAGGGGACCAGAGGCACACAATGGTAAACAAAAAGCTCTGAGCTCTGCCAGCAGCACCCTGTGCCCACACCATGTACAGTGCCCGGCCTGCTGGGATGGCAAACAGAAACCCGGGCTGGGCAGGGGGGTTTGGGAGTATTGGAGGCATATATACACACAGAGGGCCGTATGTGTGTATACGTCTTTATATATAGATCTAGATGTAGGTGTAGACTCTATGTTTAAACCCTCCTATATATACACACAGCCCTCCTCAGATGAGGTCATTTTCCCATATAGATGGGATTGGGTGAGCGATGCCAACATCCATCGCCAAGATCCTGCATCTCCGCAGATCTGAGACAACACCAAGCACACAAGTGGGACTACACTGGGGAGGGAGATACACACTCAAGAGACGCAGGCTGTGTGAGGGGTCCTTCAGGCTCCTCTCTTATCCAAGCACCCACTCACCACATACCCAAAGCCAGCTCAGACCGAGGCTGGATCTGCACCCTCAAGTTTTTGTCCCCCATCCCTTTCCACAACGATACTCTCTTCTATCTCACTATGGGTTTACACACAGATATATATTCCCCCGTGCCTCCAAACGTCTCAATGTTTTTGGATTTGGGAAAAGAGCTGGGGGGGGGAGGGGGGGGAAGAGATGCTGCCTGAATGCAGTGCTTGGGAAGCTTTCGCCTTCCAGCTCCGGGCGGCACCGGCAGACAGCTCCATTAAAAAAGTGGTTTTCCAGTGCTCTCGAAAAGCCGTTATTTTTTTACATCGCTTTTAGGAAGATGGATTAACAAAACATCGCGTTTCAAGCCACTCTGATCTGTAATTAAACGGAGGAGCCGGTTTGTATTCTCCTATGGCTTTTACAGAAGTTGCAGTGATCCAAAGTCAGGTTGCTGTGTCAGAGTGGCATTTTTATTAATGAGAACACAAAAAGCTTGCATATTCTTAGCCCGGCTTGAATTTAGTTGCTAAGCAACCGCTGTATGGTAATTCATCCGCGAAATTTAAATCTTTCAGAAAGGACGCTGCTCTCTGCTCAATGCTCGCCACGAGGAAAACAACCGCGTGGGACCCGCGGCAGCTGCCGCCTGGTCTCCCTCCGCGCCGGGACGGCCCCGGCCCGGCTCCGCCGCCCGCGGACTGCCCCCAGATGCCCGGGAGGCTGCGACAGGGAGGCGGGAGGGACCCGGTCAGCGCCGCCCCGTCCGCCCGAGGCCGCTTCCCACGCGTGGGCGCAGCCGACTCCCGGAGCGCGGTCCCGCTGTTGGCTCGGAGCGCGGCCGGCGGTCACCCCTCCGCTTTTTTTTTTTTTTTTTTTTTTTGTCTAGCCAAAGAGTCTCGGCCAAAAAAAGGAGCTCCCTACTGCTGTGTCATTGACACCGCGGGGTCGCTCGCTGCCTTTCTTTTCGCCTTTCTCGAGCCTCTCGTTGAAACCTGCGCCCCGTTCCATTATTCCAAAGTGCAACTGAAAATACCTCGCGGGGACGCGGAGCTGAGGCTCTGCCATTCTCTCCGCATTTTTGCGCTCCCTGCCCCGAAGCCGCACCCGGGGCCGTCACTTGTTGCGTCCCTTTGAGTTTGAGACATGGAGCGAACGGAGGGCCCCAGCCCGCAATCGCAACCCCGCACAAACATTGGGGAGCAATGCGTGCGCACCTGCACAGATGTACACAGCAGCAGCGGCTTGGAGGTGTCCATCATTTATTACAAAAATAAACGAATAAATACAACAAGACGTTGTTGCTTTCGACGGGATAAATATTTTACAAATATATCATTTAAGAAAACAAAACAAAACAACCTAAATCGAGTTGTTAAAATTATTTGAGATGTTACACTTACTGATTGAATAACCAACAGTATGTGCTACTTTTCGTACCAGAACCGATTAATCTCCATGTGAAACCATTCGCACAGAGCAGGTGACAAGCAGCGCAGTGTGCACACACGAGGCACGAAACACGAGGGTCTTTCGGGCTCATTCCGATGGGAACCGCCGCTCCAAAACCAACGCGGAGCCTTTTGCTCACCTCCGGACACACACGGACGGCGGCTGCGACGCACCTGAGGGGACGGAGTGGGAGCGTCTGGCCGGGGTGGGGGGGTGGGGGGTGGGAATGAGGAGCATAAAGTGATTCCGACTAGGGATGGCCCGGTCTGAGCGATGGGAACTTTGTGGGATGTTGGTTTTAGAGAGGGGGAAAAAAAAATTAGGAAGAAGAAGAGGGAGGAGGAGGAAAACGATACCGACTCAGTTCCACTCACAGAACACTGATATTATAAATGAAAACAATTACTAAGTGGGTTAGGAGATGCGGCGATACACAACAATATTTTCATTATTTACACGTGTCACGATACAAGCCCGAACGCAGCGCCCTCAGCTCTCACCTATCCCGGTTATCTCTGACGTTCCCAAATAAATTCAGAAGACTCAGTTAGCGGCGGAGGAGGGGGGGGGGGGGGGGGGGGGAGGGGGGAGAGGGAGGAGGAGGGGGGGCTGACCACGGCCTCACTTTTCTGTCACAATAACTCCGCAAAACGGGCGCATTTGGCAGAGTCCGCACAGCCGAGGGCTGCCCCGGCCCAGCCTCGGCCCCGGCAAGCCGCCGAGGCCGTCTTTTAACAGCACACAGAGCGAAGCCGAACTCCAGCCCTTTGTGGCCACACAAATATGGGCACCAAACACCACCGAGAGATGCGCAAAGTCCGTCTCCGTGGCTGTCATTCGCCTGCGAAAAAACCCGTTTCCCTGGCCCGGAGTTCCGGGAGGCAAACAAAGAAGCTCTGCCGTCACCCTCCTCTTTTCCTTCCTCTTTTTATCTTATTCTAAATAATTTTTTTTCCTTTTCTTTTTTTTCTCCTTCTTCTTTGTTTTTTTTTTTTTGTTTGTTTGTTTGTTTCTTTCCCCCTCTCTCCTTTCCTCTGTGCCAATGAGACCACTGCACAAACCCCCCGAGTGCTGCCATGTGTCGCGATCCAGCGATACAATACTCGGCACACGGCCGCGATTCACGGGCTGACACCGCCGGCTCCGACCGCTTGGGAGGGACAAGAGGGGAGGAAGGAGCCGTGAGCTCCGTGCCGTTAACGGAGAGCACCCGCAAGACTGCTGGAGGGTCGGCCCGTCCGCACCGCTTCCCCGCTCCGCAGCGCAGCTGCCGATGCGCACCGCGACGCGTTCGACGCACCGGTGTGACAGCGCTGCTGCTGCTGCTGCTAAGGGAGCACGGTTCACCCTGAGCCGGAGCCTCAGCAGCAGCAGCAGAGCAGCTAGAGCGTTGTGTGCGGTGGGCTGGAAGCAATCCCCTTGGGCACCCTTCCTGGGAAAAGAAAAAGCACCTTCTCCATACACCCCGCAGATAAATCAGGTACAGATCTTTCCAGAGACAGATAACGCGTCAAAACAACGCACTGCTCTCCCCCTACCCCACCTCCCCCTTCCCATTCGTTTGAACGACACCGAACTTTTGGCAGCACGGCCATCTCCTTCGCCCCCCCTCCCTCCATCTCCCCCCCCCATCCTCCCCCTCCACAACCCCCCCTTTCCCCATCTCCGCTCCGCAGCGTCACACGGCGCAGCCCCGCGGCTCTGCGCTGTCCCTTTCCGCGGGGCCCCGCGCAGTGGCCGCACTCAGCTCAACGCCCTCCGCCCCCGGCGCGGCCACCGCTGAACTTTTTATCCGGCCCCGCGTCGGATGCAGCAGACACAAGAGTCGTTCATTCTAACAAATTTATTTTCTCAATCGGCTCTTACGGAATCACTACTCAAATTAAATTACAATCAAATTATCACATCAAAAGATACCCTTATTACCTAACAACTGTCCATAGTTTCATTTCATTTTGATTTGTGCTCGTCTGAAAAAAACACGTAATACAAGATCTGGGGAAAAAATAAATTACCGTTTTGCAGCAGTTCATAGGTATTCTGAATAAAATATTAAAAGAAGTCATTTAATGAAAATATAAAGCAAATTTTTTTTTTTTTTTTTTTTTTTTTTTTTTTTTTTTTTTTAGATCAACAACGGATCTAACAATTCTATATTGCCGTCTTTTTGAAAAGTCTGTTTATTAAAACCTACCAAAAACACTGCTTGGAAATGGCAGTATTATATAATCACATCCACAGCACCCATTCAATCAAAGTTGGCAACGGATTTAGGAGAGGAGAAGTTCAGATAAGTGCAGCTGCAGATGCTCAGTCCTTCTAAATCCCTTTATCTGAATCAGTCCAGAAATAAAAAATAAAAATATTAATAAAAAAAATATTAGCAGTGGATTTTTTTTTTTAATTTTTTTTTTCTTTCTTTCCTTTTTTTTTTTTTTTTTTTTTTTAATGACTCTTCCGTGATGATTGGCAGCCGTCAGGAGCGGGACTGTGGCAGCCCCGAACGGTTTCCCTTCCTTTCGCTGCTCCCTTAATTCAGCGCAGTCCTTCTATGGAGCTCCAACTTTAGGGACCAGCGGCCTCTCCACCCCCCCTCCCCCCTGGTTTCTGTCTGTCCACCCCCCCCCGCCCCCTCCCACCCCCCTCTCCTCGGGGTCAGTTCGGTGTGTGGGCATGTATTCCCATAGTTTTGTTCTATAGCTATACCTATATATATAGATAAATATATATATATGTATTTGCCTCCCTACGCAGTCTGCTTGTTTTTAGTGCTGTGTGCATATTTTCATTATTATTATTATTATTATTATTTTTTCTTCCTGGAAAAAAACAACAACAACAAAAAACCAACAGCGAAACAAAGTGGCCCTTCTCATTTTGCGGAATATATCACTCCATAGATATCTATGTTCTCAGAGTGGGTGTCTGCCTTGCACCAAAATCCTACGGTTTGGCCAAGGAAAACAGAGGTGCTGGCACGCAGCAGGCCCCCTCTGATTGATCACATCGTTTTGCTTCTGCTTCCCTTTCTTTTCTTTTCTTTCTTTCTTTCTTTTTTTTTTTTTTTTCGGATCGCTCCCATTGTGAAAAATCAAAATTTAAAAAGAAAATTAAAAAGAAAGAAAAGAAAGAAAATAAAGGAAAAAATTTTAAAAAAAATTAAAAAAAAATAAAAAAGGAGGGAAGGGGTAGAAGGAGGGGGGGGGGGGAAAGTTTCCTTGATCGAGAGAAGAGCCCTTTGGGGATAGGGGAGAGCAAGGGGGGGAGGAGGGGAGAGGTGCAGACCCCATCGCTGCGAGAGGGGCTCAGGGGGGGATGGGGGGAGGCGAAAAGCAAAAACCCGAACAGAAACCCAAGGCAGAACCCACCCGGCCGAGCCCTCTTCCCACAGCAGCCCCCGGCACATCTGCAGTTTTGGTGCATTACGCATCTCCACCCCGTTCTCCCAACGCAGCGGAAACGCTCTCGCTCGGCTCGACCTTTCCCGGCGCTCCCTCTCGCTATCGATCCCGTATGGACAGATAGATCCAGGCGCCCGCCTCTATCCATACATATACCGACACGGGCGGCCCGAGCGAGCCCGGACCGCGCGCGCGTGTGTGTGTGTGAGTGCGTGCGTGCGTGCGTGTGAGTGTGAGTGTCCGTGTCCGTGTGTGTGAGCGCGGCGTTCGCCACCGCCGCCGCCGCCGCCGCCGCCGCCGGAGCTCTCCCGGCCCGGCCCCGCGGAGCCCCGCTCACTGCACGCCGCTCTGCAGTCCGTGGTGAGGGGGCGGCGTGTCGGAGCTGACGGCGCCGACCTGCGAGTAGACATCGTCGGGGGTCTGCTGCTGGATCCCCGGCGGGGTCATGCGTTTCTCTTTCTGCCTCCGATTGCAAAACCAAACCCTGACCACCTCCTTCTCCAGCTGCAGGCTGTCCGCTAGGTTCGTAATCTCCTGGGCGGAGGGCTTGGGGCATTTCAGAAAGTGGCTCTCCAAGGCCCCCTTGACACTCACCTCGATGGAGGTCCGCTTCTTCCTCTTCCTGCCCTGCGCCGCGATCTTGTCGATGCTGGTGGGGCTGCCGGTGGAGGAGTCGGCTTCCTCCAGCCACTTGTTCAACAAAGGCTTCAGCTTGCACATGTTCTTGAAGCTGAGCTGCAGGGCCTCGAAGCGGCAGATGGTTGTCTGCGAGAAGACGTTGCCGTACAGGGTGCCCAGAGCCAGCCCCACGTCGGCCTGCGTGAAGCCCAGCTTAATCCGCCGCTGCTTGAACTGCTTGGCGAACTGCTCCAGGTCGTCCGAGGTCGGCGTGTCCTCGTCCGAGTGCGCCTCGTGGCTGTTGACTGCGCCGTGGTGCGGCGCGTGGTGCCCGGGGTGCGGGTGGTGGTGATGGTGGTGATGCCCGGGGTGCTCGCCCAGCTCCGCCGTCTCGCCGCCGCGCACCAGCCCGGGGTGCACCAAGCTCTGCCCGCCGCCCGCGGGGCTCAGCATGCCGTTCACCGTGAAGCCCCCGGGCTGCGAGTAGAGGAGCGACTGCTGCTGCTGCTGCCCGCCGGCCATGGCGGGCAGGTGGGCGGCCGCCGCCGCCGCGCCCCAGGCCGCGGGGTGCCCCTGGTGCGGGGGGCCCAGGTGGGGCGGCCGGTGGTGCAGCGCCGCGCCCGCGTGCAGCTCCTCGCGCCCGCCGCCGCCCTTCACGTCGGGCGGCGGCGGCGGCGGCGGCTGCTGGGGGCTGCCCGTCATGCCCACGGGGCTGCCGGACCAGGGCGAGCCCGCTTCGGCGGCGGCGGCGGCGGCGGCGGCGGCGGCGGCGGCGGCGTGGGGCAGGGCCGTCACCCACTGGTGGGCATGGCTCAGCATATGGCCGCCGTTGCTGGCGGCCATGGCGCCCGGCATGAAGTCGCTCTGGACCATCTTGGCCGCCGGGTCGCCGCGGTAGCCGCCCGCCACCGAGGTGACGGCCACGCCGCCCGGCTGCATGCCCCCGCCGCCGCCGCCGCCGCCGCCGCCGCCCGAGTCGGCGTGGACGATGGAGCCGGCCGCCAGGATGCCGTTGCCGGGGAGGTAGGGGTTGGAGGTGGCCGCGGCCATCCCGCGCCCGCCGCCCGCCGCTCGCCCCCGCCGCGCCGCCGCCGCCGCCGCCGCCGCGCCGCCGCCGCGAGCGCCCTTGCCCGGCGCTGCCGGGGCCGCTGCCGGGGCCGCCGCCCGCGCCGCCGCCGCCGCCGCCTTCCCAGCGTCGCCGGGGCGCCGGGCGCGGGGTTCACCTGCTAGCGCCGCGCCGCGCTCCGCTCCGCCCGTCCGCCGGCCGTCCTGCGCTGGGCGAGCGCCGGGACTGCTCGCCTGCTGCCGCTCGGTGCTGCCGGTGCCGCCGGGGTGATGATGGTGGGGTCGTTGGTGATGGTTGTTTGTTGTTGTTGTTGTTGTTGGTTGGTTGTTGGTGGTTTGTTGTTTTTTTTTTTTTTTTTTTTTTTTGGCTTTTCTCTCTCGTTTTCCGGGGGGAAAAAAAAAAATAAAAGGAGATTCGCGCTTTTCTCTCCTCCGCCTTCTTCTCGCCCGACTTTGCAGCCGCTCGCGGGGAGGAAACCAAACAAAGGCTAAAAAGCGGCCGGGAGGGGGGGGGGGGGGACCGGCGAGCCCCCGCGCTTCGCCCCGGCGCTCCCCTAGGAGTACATCTCCGCCGCGCAGCCTTCCCCGCTCCGAGCGAAACTTTTCCTCCTCTTCCTCCTCCCGGCGCGGAGCGGGAGGGGAGGGGGGGGGCGGGGGGATCTCTCGTCCTCTCTCTCCGGCTCTCCTCTCCTCCTCGCTCTCGGTTCGCTCTTTTATTCGCAAGTTTCGCCGGCGTCCGGAGCAAACTTCCCGCGGTGATGCTGCTGGCGGTGATGATGCATTTCTCAAAGTTGCGCCGCCGCCGGAGCGCTCAATGCCCCGCGCAGGCAGCGCCTCTCCGCTGCCCTTTCTCCGCAGCCCCGGCCCGAGCCAGGCATGGTCTCTCCCTACGTCTCCTCGAAGCGTTCGGATTAAGAAAAAAAGAGAGTAAAAAAAAAAAAAAAGTCAAAAAAAAAAAAAAAAAGAAAAATCCCAAAGTTGGGTTCTCTCGGCACCTCGCGGGTTGTTTCTCCCTCTCGCGCTCTCTCTCTCTCTCTCTCTCGTTCTCTCTCCCGTTTCGTTTCGCTTTTTTTTTTTTTTTTTTTTTTTTTTGGTGTTTGTTTTGCTTTTTTTTTTTTCGCTTTTTTTTTTTTTTTATTTTAATTCCAGCAGTTGGTCGAGGGAGGAGGAGGAGGAGGCGGAGGAGGAGCGCCTTTGCCGGAGAGGTGTGCGTATGTGTGTGTGCATATATGGTATCCTTTATACACTAACTCCGGCGGGGAACTTGGCTGCCGGGCTGGCTGCGCGCACTGCCGGGGCCGGAGTCCCGCCGCTCTCCTCTCCCCGCCTCCCTCTCCCGGGCCGTGCCCGCTCCCTCCCCTCCCTCCTCCCGCCCTCCCCGCTCGGGGCCGCCCGGCCCCGCTGCTCGGCGCCCGCCCGCCGCCGCCCCCGCCGATTGGCCGCCCGCCCCGTGACGGACAGCGCGGCCCCCCTTCCGCCCGTTCCGATTGGCTGCCTTTTAATTTAGGCAAAGCTGGAAGTGCCCCCCCCCCGCTTCTCCTCTCCTTTTTTTTTTTTTTTTTTTTCCCTCCGCCCCCCTTTCCCCTCCCTCCCTCCTTCCTCCCATCCATCCGTCCCTGCCCTCCTCCCCTTAACTCTTCGCGCCCGGCGAGCGGGGGGGCGGGAGGGGGGGGCACCATAATTAATGACAGCAACAATAACAGCAGCACCAGAGACAACAGCACCATCACCACCTTTATGCTCCCCCCCCCAACCTATCTTTTTGCCCTCCCCCCCCCATCTCTCCCGGGATGCTTCTCCCTCCACCCCCCGATTTCATTCTTCCCCCTATTTCTCCCTTTGTCTGCCCCCGAGGCCGCCCCGTCGGGAGGGAAAGGGGTGGGGGGAAAGACAGGAGGGAGCCCCGAGCGGGCGGAAAGGGTTAAGGGGGGCGGGGGAAGGCGAGATGCGCCCAAGCGGAAACGCTGCGCACGGGCGGCCTCAGTGAACCGAGGGGGAAAAAGGAAAAAAAAAAAAAAGAAAAAAGAAAAAAAAAAAAAAGAAAAAGAAAAAAGAAGAAGAAAAAAAAAGGGAAAGTGGCGACGACAACAACAGCGCGGGCGGACGGAGCGCTCCGCGGGGACTGACGGCGCAGGGGCACCGCTCGGACGTTCGGTGTTCCCACGCCACGCGTGTGCGCCCCGGGGAGTGGGGGAACCCCGCGGGGAGAGCGGTGGTGAACCCCGACAGAACGAGGTTGGGTGGGGGATGGAACGGGGTTACTTTCCGTGTCCCCAAAGGTCTTCGGTTTTATTTCTTAAAATCCATAGCAAAGCCCCAACACAGATTCCATTGACTCAATGGGAGATCTCCAGGTGCAGCCGCTCGAGCGCTCCGTGCCAGAGCCCCGTGTTTTCCTTTCCAGCCGATTTTGCTTGGATCCGGCTCAAAAAGCCGAGCGAGTCTCGTGGTTTTGTTTACACTGAATGGGGAGGATAGGAGCGGTGCCATGGGGCCGTCTTTCATTAATATACAGTGAGGATTTTGTCTAAATTACCGCTATGAATTTCACAGTGCGCGCTTTCAAAAGCCGTCTCAGGTGGCCCGATGGAACGTGATAGCGCCTCTGCAAACAGATCCACGTCTGAACATAGAGGGAGGGGGGAGGGAGACCCTCCCCCCCAAATAATAATAATAATAATAATAATGTTAAAAACATACCCCCCCCCCCCCCCCCCCCCTCCCTCCCGAGAGCAGCAGCAAAATAAGGCTGCGGCGGGAGCAGCGCCTTTTATTTAAAAGAAAAAAAAACCCAACTTAGTTCCCCAACTCTTCCCGCCCCCTCCCTCGCGGAGTGTGATTGTTTTGTCTGGAAAAAAACCCAAAGTATAACAAGGGGAGAACAGTTAGTGCTGATTTCCATTTGCATAAATTTTCATATATTTTGGTGAAAATAATAGACGGGCGGAGAGCGGGGCTCGGCGGAGTCAGTGAGAGGGAAAAGCGGAGCGGGGAGAGCCGCGCTGGAGCCGAGAAGGCGCGGTGTGCCCCCGTCACCCCATTAAAACCCCAAATTAAAGCAAAAACGTATCTCCTCAGTGCCGCGAGTGCGCTCGGTAAGTGCTTGGCATTTTTTATCTACTTTTCTTGTCTGTTGGATGGGTGTTTTCAACAGCTTTAGGACAAGGCGGGGAAATCCACGGCAACAGCCTTAAAAAAAAAAAAAAAGGGGGGGGGGGGGGGGGAGAGGAAAGAAAAAGGAGAAAAAAAATCTCCACCAAACTGCACCGTGGTGAAATACTCCATCCAGAGCGGATTGGTTCCAGCGCTCGGGTGGCACAGCTCTTCCTCGGGGCTGAGGAGGCTGCTGGAGGCTGCTTCACTTTTCATTATTGTAACGCTCTGGCCTGGGGTGGGTGGGTGGGTGGGGGGCGGGGTGGGGGAGGTGGGATGGGGGGGGGGGGTTGGGAGAGATGAGGAAAGGTCTGGAAAAAGCACCTCGTTATGCGTGCGGAGGGCAGCGCGGGGGCGCGGGCCGGGCCGGCACCTGCTGCTCTGGGGGCGCGCAGAGGGTGAACGACGTGAGGAGGGGTTGTGAGGTCCGGGGGTGGGAGGGAGGTGAGCAGAGAGAGCAGAGCTCCTCGCTCAGGCCCGAAGGTGCCGGGACAGCGTGTCCAAAGCAGAACCCACAGCGCTTGGAGTCAGTGCAGTCGGTACCGCGCTGTATAATGTTGGGTGAAAGCAGTAGGCCCTGTAACGCGCTTGAAAACTTCTCCCAGCTTCGATATCCCGTGACGAGACTTGCCTTTATTTTCATTTTTCTGCACTATTTTCAATACATAGATATATTCCCCCCCCCCTCCTCCCCCCCACCCCAGCTCCCCCCTACCTCCACCCTCCTCCCCCCCGCCGCTGCTCTTTTGGATGGCACGATCCTCGCCATCACCCTAATTCCCTCGCATGAGTCCTTTGGCAGCGGTCGATGGGCAGATCAATGGGGGTTGGGGGGCCCGGGAGGTGTCGGTTTCCGCGCGGGGGGAGCAGAATCGCTCATTTTCCACTTCTCGCCGCCGCCCGGCGCTCCTTTGAGCGGGGTTAACTCTGTGCGCTCCATCGGAACAGATGCCGCATAGAGCTGCTCCCTCCCGATCATTTGTTTCCTTGATGGGGGAACATTTCTGAGCAGAACATATTGGTTGCCATAGAGAAAGAAATAAAAGGAAGAACACTAGTCACATTAAGCTATATGTTTGTGCACTGGGCTTTAGATAAAAGGGCCCCAGTTCGGCCAAAGAGAGCGCAGCCAAACCAGAGCCCCTCCGCTTCCCTCGAACCTCCTCGCTTTTCTCGGGGACTTTTACAGTTGAAACATGGAAGCTAATTTTATTGGTCCTCGTTAATTTTATACGACACGGCTTGCTGCACAAAACCAACTTTCCGAGAGCTCCCGGGGCGGCGGGAGGACGCCAGGGGGCGCCGTGGGGCCCCTCCCGGCCCCGCTCAGCCCGGCACGATGCGGTGCGGTGCGGTGCGGTGCCGGCACCCCTGGGAGTGCGGGGGGTGGAACTGCGGGATTGAGGGGTGCGATACCTCCGAGGGATCTGAGGCCGTCAGGGGAGTCAGGGCACCAATTGCACACAGGGTTTGTTTGTTTGTTTGTTTTCTTATTATTTATTTTTTATTGTCCAAATAAAGCGCTTAAGCCTGGAGAGATGCAATAAAACGTCCTTTTAATTTTTTTTTTAATTTCTTTTTTAGAATATTTAATATCTAATGGCTGTGATAAACCAGGAAAAGTAGTGTTCTTCTTATTATTTTTAATTTTTTTAAATTGTTTTTTATGCCATAAGCTGATGGCCCTTCCTTTCCACCCCTCCCTCTCTCTCCCCACGCTGCGGGAGCAGCTGGCAGAGCCCCCTCGGGCCCCCCCGCCCCGAGCACAGCGTGTCTGGGACCGCAGGCATTAAACCTGGCTCAGCCCGACGGCGCGCACGGCGCCGCGTTTC